TTTGTACCAAATTTCTAACAAAGTCTCACATAAGTGACCGACCATAAAGAGAAAGAATAAGAGAAACAAAAATCAAAGCTTCCTTTGTAAGCTTTGCCCAAGCTAAGTAGTAAAATCACTATTTAACCCTCCTAAGTTCTCATTCTTTTTATTAAGTCCTCCCATTACTTTTTAAATTCCAATTTTCTTCCATTTCCTTCTTTGACATGTGTACAAATATAATATAAAGTCTACACCCCATTAACGTGTCACCATAATATTTAAATATATACTTACTTGATTGTGCTCTATTTCATAAAGACACGCGAGTTCCCTCTAACTTCATTGTTTTCCTCCGAATTTCTTCTTTTCTTCTTCTCTCCCACTTAGATTAGTCATATAACCTTCTATTTTAACTAATCGCACTAATAAATAAAATATTAATATTTTTAAATATTATTTTATTTATAAAATATTATTTTATTTAAAAATATTTTTTTTACTTGTTACTGTTCTCTAACGCTTAGATTTATGTCAAATGTCTCTTCTTCTCATTAATAAAGTCTTATTAACCTCTAAATGAGGGTACGAGACGTTACAGGTATAGGCATACCCTTAAGCTCATAAACATATACATTAAAGTTCAAATTAGCCCACCAAACAACTTAGCCAATATCATACATAATTCATACTAAAGTAAAGGGTGTTACATCATTGGCTGGTTTTGTAAAAGTAAGTTCGGCCAAAGCGAGGGAATGAAGAATTTACAGATTGAAAAATTTTAATATGGACAGGATTTTTGTGAAGGTAATTAAAGTTAAAGGAATTGAAAGAGGGACTTAATAGAAAAGAAGAAAAATGTTGAGGGGTAAAATTATAATTAACGAAAAATTAGAAGATCAAATTACAATTAATGAAAAAATTGAAAGACTAAATTATAAATGATAAAAAGTTTCGAGGGTTAAATGATAAATAAGAAAAAGTTCAAAGACCTATGGGCTATTAAACTATTCTTAAGTTAATTGTATATTAAATATGTTAATTTGAAATAGAAATGCAAAGTGGATAAATGGGTAATCGGCCATGGAAGTGTAAAATGGGGAGGCAATGTAAACCATGGGCAGTTTGCTCATAAAAAACTTTAGAAACAATGGTAAAATGGGTTAATGGAGGACATGTGGGTCTTTCATCATGTGAAGACCAAAAAC